CTTGGAGGCAGGCCGTGCGGTCGCCGCCGTCGTCGTCCGCGTCGTCGTCGTCGTCGTCGTCGTCGTCGTCGTCGTCGTCGTCGTCGTCGTCGTCGTCGTCGTCGTCGTCGTCGTCGGCAGTCGGCGGCTTCTCGTCGGCGCCGTCGGCAGAGACGGCGGCAGGGGCCGCGGTCCTGGTCGTGGTCGTGGTCGCGGTCTTGGTCGTGGTCGTGGTCGGGCACGTCGGGCACGTCGGCCCGTTCTGGAGGCCATACGAGGGTCCCCCCCTGGGAAGAGGGCACCTTGGGCCGGGATCCCCTCTGGCAACACCAAACTTCTGTGTCGAAGAATGCTTCGTGACTGGCTCCAGACTGCTTCCTGGCTGCCCCAAAATGACGCCTGGAAGGTCCCAGGTTCTCCCAGACGGGGTCAAAGACGGCCCACGAGACCGGCCCAAAAGGACAGCACCAGGGCGACCCAAGCCCGCACCCAGACCAGCCCCAAGACTTGAGTATGGCTGAGGGGTCGGACGTCAGGGGGCGCAGTCAACCTGTTCGGTCAAACCGAAAGTGATGCACCACAACCGGCGTCAAGTCAAAGCTTTGGACACAAGCGAACGGTTGGACTGTGCATTTCTTCGTCGGCTTCACTGGCGAGGCGTTGACCACCTTGACATCCCTTTTTTGGTGGTCCTGCAAAGGAAGGCGCTCTCTGACCCTCGGCCCTACTCAACCCAAGACGGCCCTGCTCGCCCTGGCGCTGTCTAGGGGTGAAGACCGCCCCAGCCAGGGTCGGCCACCAGCGAAGAAGGGAAGTGAGGAGGAAAAGGCCTTCTCAGAAGGCGGCGGGCTTCTCCGAAACGCTCCAGCCTTCTGAGAAGCCTTCCGTGCCTTCGGGGAGGGCTTAGAAAACTTCTCAAAAGGCCGGGGGGGGTCCGGTCATAACTGGACTCCCCGGTGGCCGTTCGGAACGACCCGGGCACCCCCGGAACGCCCTCGGCGAGGCGCAGCTGCTGGATCGGATCCCGAGGCTGGACGACCGCCGAGAACCAACGACGACGCCCGAAAACGTCGAGCCTCGAACCTCGAACGCCTCGAAACGTCGAGGGCCAACGACGACGCACGAAAACGTCGAGCCTCGAGCCTCGAACCGTCTGAGAAGGCCCACCCTCTTCTCTCTGGCCCCCCCGGGGCTTGCCGCCGACGGGGGCCCCGGCCGCCCAGCTTCGCGCACTGCGCCCCTCGCGAGGAGGAGGAGGAGGAGGAGGAGGAGGAGGAGGAGGAGGAGGAGGAGGAGGAGGAGGAGGAGGAGGGGGAGGAGGAGGGGGGGGGAGGAGGGGAGGAGGAGGAGGAGGAGGAGGAGGAGGAGGAGGAGGAGGAGGAGGAGGAGGCGGAGGAGGAGGAGGGCGAGGAGGAGCGTGAGGACGAGAAGGACGAGAAGGAGGAGGAGGAGGAGGACGACGACGAGGGACCAGAGGCTACGGGACTCTCTCGTGTGGGGATGGGGGGGGCGTCTGGCGGAGGCGGCGAGGCAAGGCGGCCTGTGGCGACCGCCACTTCTGGACCCAGGGCCGCCGCCCCACGAGAGCGCCCTGCCGGGCGGGCGCCCCGCCGGGCAGGGCGCGGGTGTCGGTCAGCCGCTGCTGGCCTGCGGTGGCGGCAGTGCGTCGGCGGCGTTGAAGCGGCCCTGGGACACACAAGTAAATAGACACAAATAACAGGATTCTCCATATTTTCCTATATTTTCTGGGCTTTTGTCTTCCCCCCCACTTCCCATATTTTCCCATATTTTCTTGGGAATCGACGATTATTGTGTCTGTGTTTTTTCCCCTCCTGAGGCGTGCCGGGTGAGCCGATTGACACGTGGGAGCCGCTGGTGCTGACAGTTTGCTTCCAGAAAGTGGACGCCTGGAGGCAGACCTGGACCTCGCCGGGCTCGAGGGCGGCGGTGCCTTCTCAAGTTGGGACTCGCTCTGGCCGATTCGGATGAGATCCACGCTGCCTCGGCCAGAACTTCGGTCCCAGCGGCTTCCCGTTGCCAATTGGCACGTGGGAGCCGGTTGCCGCGTAGACCGCAAAACGTATGGCCTCCATGGCCACGTCAGGTCCCGCCCTTGCACCCAGAAGCGCGGCAGCAGAGGTTCGGCGGCGAGCGATGGGGGGGGAGTGTCAGGTGAGAAGAAGAAAGCCTCCTCAGAAGGCGGCGGGGCTTCTTACAGGCCCTCGCGCCTTCTGGAAAGTGCTCTGCGTCTTCGGGGAAGGCTCCGGAAACTCCTCAAGAGGCTGGCGGCCTTCCGAGCCCTGCGAGGAGGCCCGCGCGCTCTCGCTTCCCCCCAGGCGCGCCGCCTCGTGGAGGAACAGCAGCAGCGACAACTGCGTGCGCACTCTCGGCTCCGCCCGGCTCTTGGTCGAGCGAGGGGCGAGGCCGAGAGAGAAACCGGTGCGCCGGAGCGGCGCCCAGCGCCCCGACCAGGGACCGCCCCCGTCCCTGGCTCTCCCCAGATGGGGTCCAAGAAGATGGGGTCGGAAGATCGCGCTGCATCGCCGATGCATCGGCGACGCTGGCGTGGAGAAAATCAGGTTCCACATCCAGCCACATCGCCGAGGCATCGGCGATGCGGCGATGCGGCGATGCGGCTCGATCTTCCGACCCCATCTATCCCGGAAGGGTCTTCAATACCCCCGAGTAATGGGAAACGAACTACTCATACTACACCTACGACTACGACTACGACTACGACCACGAACAAACAACGGCGACGGCGCCGACTACGACTACGACTACGACTACTACGACTGCTACGACTACTACGACTACTACGACTACACAACTACCACGACTACCACGGCCAGACTACGACTACGAGCACGACTGCTACCACCACTACTACTACTACTACTACTACTACTACTACTACTACTACTACGACGACGACGACGACGACGACGACGACGACGACGACTACTACTACTACTACTACTAACAACAACAACAACAACAACAATAACACTAACACTAACACTAACACTAACACTAACACTAACACTAACACTAACACTAACACTAACACTAAAACTACTACTACTACTACTACTACTACTACTACTACTACTACTACTACTACTACTACTACTACTACTGCTACTGCTACTGCTACTGCTACTACTATTACTACGACTACTACACCTACTACTACTACTAACTACTACTACTACTACTACTACTACTACTACTACTACTACTACTACTACTACTACTACTACTACTACTACTACTACTACTGCTACGACTACTACGACTACTACGACTACTACGACTACGGCTGGGAAGCGACTGAAACCGGGAGGTTATTCAAGACTTAATTCCGGAGTTAAGTCGGCCCGATTCCGGGGTAAAGGCCACCCCGCGGAAAAACTTAACTCCGGAATTAAGTCGCCGCCAAGCTGGCGGACGCACCAGCTATTACACGAATTAACTCCGGAGTTAAGTGATTCCCACGCCGCGCGCCCCAGCCAGGTACAGACTTAACTGCGGAGTTAAATCGCCGCGGCATTTGGTTGGGTGCCGCGACGATCGAGAGGACAGGAAGTGGAAGAGGAGGAGGACGGCGACGAGGAATATGAGGAGGAGGAGGAGGAGGAGGAGGAGTGAGGAGGACGAGGAGGAGGAGGAGGAGGAGGAGGAGGAGGAGGAGGAGGAGACAAGCTAGGTGCCTTCGCGTCATATCTGACATCCGACCCCTCCCTCCCATCCCTTACCATGGCGTAGATCCCCTCTCTGTTCGCACACAGTCGGATGTCGATCAGGGCAATGATCCCGAAAGGGTACGCGATGCATTGTAGAGCACGGCGTGGCATGGCGTAGAAGAGCACCGCAAAGCGTAGTATGTCACAACATGGCGTGGCGTGGCGCGGTGAAGAATTGCATCACAAAGCTTTGCAACGCAAAGCATGGTATCGCACAGCGGCCCCGAACATAACATTGCATAGCATGGCGTTGAAGATCTAAGCGTAGCCTGGCATAGCACGACGCGGCACTTAAGCACTGCATATCACAGCTTCAGCTGAAGGCATGGCATCGCGCAGCGTCACGCAACCTAGAATTGCATTGCACGCCGTGGCATGGCACGGGAAATGACGCCAGCGCTGCAGCGTGAGCACGATTCGGAACGAGCGGAAGCGCGGAAATGAAGCCAACGCTGCAGCGGGAGCACGTTTCGGAACGAGCGGAAGCACGGAAATGAAGCCAGCGCTGCAGCGGGAACACGAATCGGAACGAGCGAGACCTGAAAATGAAGCCGGCGCCTCAGCGAATGCAGCACTTTGAAAACATATGCAGGCGAAAACCCAACTCCAGGGAATCCTGCGTGTAAAAATACAGCACGCAGGGGGGCGGGGGCGAACGCTCCCAACCCGTCATCAGGGGAAGGAGGAGAGTAGCGTTCATATAGAACAATTGTGGAGGAGGAGGAGGAGGGGACACATCAGGGCACGGGGGGCCGAACGCCGCAGGAGCGCGACTGCGACTGCGACCGCTACCTCTGGGCCGAGCTCCGCCTCGCCCCCGCCCCCTCTTTTTCACGCGAGCGCGATGCGCAGGCTGCTTCCCGCCAATCGCCAAGCAAAGCAAGCATGCGAAGAGTCTTCGAAAATAATCAAAATCAGACACGCTTCGATGCTCGCCGACCTCCGCCTCCCCCTGCCCCCCCCTGGCCCGACTACAAGGGCCCTCACTTCCGGCGCCTCTTCGGGCATGGCCCGTCGCCTGGCCTGGCGCCGGGCCCGCCGGCGCCGCCGCCGTCGCCCGGGGGGGCTCCCGGGGGGGCGGCGCCGCCGTCGCCCGGGGGGGCGCCCGCCGACTCCGTGCCGTCGAAATGCAGCTGGTCGAAGCTGCAAATGCGGACGGCGGGCCGCCACCTCGGCGCGACCAGCGGGCGCGGAGCGGGCGACGGCCGGGGCCGGCCGCGACCCCCCTCCCCGGCAATATATGCTGGAAGCTCCAAAACTTGTCTACATGCTAAA